GACAGGCTGGGTTGTACTGGGCCATAGAACCTGTCAGTTTGCATAGTATATGGGACTGGAGAAAAAACTGAACATATGTCTACAATCACCAATGTTTGCATAGGCTAATGCATATGACAGACTGAACGGGACCACTGGACTCAAAACTCCGGTCACAGGGAAGATCTTGGACCACATACATGTGTAGGGACTGGGGCTCCTCGACTGTTGATGCCTGTGCAGTGGATGGCATGTCCATGTGCATGTGGAGGACAAGATGGCCAGCTCATTTAGGCCTTCAGAGGACGTTGAGCACCATGTCAGAAGATAGAGAACAGACCAGGTTGTTCAACTCTCCTGACTGAGCTTTGGCAATAAGTGTCTGGGCGAATGGATGCACTGGGGTGGACACTGTCAGCCAACCGACCTTGAAAGGAACTTCTCAAAAGTTGCAGCAATGAAACCAATAGTGTCTCAGAATCATCAAAATCACTCAAGCAATACCCTCAGGACATCCTTCTCCACATTGAGATTTCTAAGCTGATATCAAGCAGACATCCTCATCCCTAGGTTCTGACGTGGATTGGCCGCCGAGAGTGGCCCCCTCCCCTGCCTCCCTTGTTCCCCACCCCTTCCATACTGGAGAAAGGAGAAGAAAAGGAAAATTAGGAGCATTTATCCCACACACATTCCCCTATGCTCCATCCCTCCCCACCCTAATCAGTGGTCCTCGTGGGTGTGCATCCTTGTTAACTATGTAAACAACATCAAAAATGAAATTATTTTTAAAAATAAATGTAATTGGGTACATCTTTTTATTGCTTTGATTTTTCACAACTTTCCCATACAATTGTTGTAAATATGGATTATCCAAATGAAACTAAGGTATCTGACATCCATACACATTCAAATGTTTACAAGCTCTCAAACACATTCCAATAAAAAGTTTGGCACTTACCAAGATAATAATACCTATGTACGTTAAAAAAACTTTTAAAAAATTGAGACAATTCACACACTGGTTCACTCTCCAAATTTCCTCCACCCTATTCCCTGCTCCCCTCAGGCTCTGCATTAGCAGGGAACTGGAATCAGGAACCAGAGCCAGGGATCAAACCCAGGGACTCTGATTCAGAAAGTGAGTTTCTTAACTGGGGGGTCATAGCCCACCCTTTTTAACTTGGGCAAAGGGAAGAAACAAAAGTTGCAGACTTGACACTAATTATTTTCCACAGAAGCCCTGAATAGTTACATTTTTACGAGAACAATCACTCTGAATTTTGGTGATGCAAAAAGAATATTTTTTAACTTCATTTTTCATTGATGGTAATGTGGTTTTGTTTGTTCAGGCTACAAATAGCAAGGGGTGCCTAGTATTTTGTGAGTTGGGGCTGTGGGTGGTATGCTGGATTGCCAGCAGTTACCAAAATAAGTCCTTCCTCGCTGGGCACTTCCCCTAGCATACTAGGTGCCTTCTCTTTCATATAATCCAATTTGAGGTTTCTAACTACCTAGTTGTCACCTTGATCTGAAGCTGTTTAAATGTAGATTTATTAACCACCGAATAAAATTGATTTTCTTTGCATGTGTACAGAGTTGTTTCCGTTAATGATTGTATTCATTCCACAGTGATCCAGTGCAGAAAATCTGGAATACATTTAATCTTTCCTACATCCTTTTTGCAGCTTCCAAACCATCACCAACACTTAATGATTCATCTAAAGTTATCTCAGACACAACTTTCTTTTACTCTGGTCAACTACGAATCTAGCCCAATGTTTCATTTCTTGAGAATTAGAAAGTGATTCTTGCTTGCCTGTAGTATATATGCTTTGAGGCATTCCTTCATCTAAATCAGTTTATATATAATTTTCTAAGCTAAGTTTCGTCAAATAATCTATACTGGCTTCTCCATATCCTTTATTAAGTCTATCTTTTTTTTGTTTGGCTTTTTAAATCTGCCATTGTCCTTCTTTCTTCTCTAGACCAGTATCAGACTTGCTTACTTATCATCACACTCACTCACTCACTCTCTGGTCTGTCCCTATGCTCATGTGGCTTCCCAGGTTGGGGTGACATTTCTCCTTCTTTTATTAAAAGATACAAAGATTCAAAGATCATCTTTGAAGATTCAATTTGAGAATCCAGAATTATGAACCATCTCCTGCTTCTCTGAACTCCAATAGATCATATGCTCCACACTGCTTTGCACAGATTTTATGTCTAGCAATTTGGTATAAATTCTGTACTGGATTATACAATTTTTCCTTAAAGTTTTATTTTTTTATTGGAAAAGCAGATTTATAGAGAAGAAGGAGAGACACAGAGAAAGAACTCCCATCCTTTAGTTCACTCCAAAAGTGGCTGCCATGGCCAGAGCTGAACCAATCCAAAGCTAGGCACCTCTACTCTTTTCCCAGGGCACAGGCAGAGAACTGGATGGGAAGTGGAGCAGCTGGGACACATATGGGATCCCAGTGGATGCAAAGTGAGCATTTGCCATTGGGCTATTGAGCTGGGTTCTAGATTATACAATGTTATATTTGTCTTATACTCACATCTCCCACTGAATTTAACATAATGCCAGGTACATTCATATGTGCTATGTGACTGACTTATGTTCATGCTATGGCTAGATACACCAGCCAATATTTATATAAATTACATTTCAAGAATGAAACAAGATAGATAAGGTATCTTATCTCAAAAACCTCGATGTCGTATTATTAACATTATTTCACAAATATATATGAAATTTACAATGGTCTGCCTCAAGTTTGAGCAATTTCATTCAGATATAACAGTAAAAATATGTTTTTATAACCATTCTTACCATGCAATCTATATATTCTTTGATGTCTTTCCTAATGCTGTTCTGACCATCCTTACCTCATGTACCCCTTCACTTGGGACTTGAACCCAGGGACTCTGACATGGGATGACAATTTCCCAAGTTAATTAGACAGGTTTGATATAAGGTTGAATGGGCAAAATCATCTCTCCAAGGTTCATTTCAACTTTAAAACCAGAAAGACACAGATGGTGGGGAGTATGAGAGGAAGGCAAAGAAGTTTTAAAAACTCATTATCTATGATCAGATTTCTCATTTAAAATATTCACAAGAAGAGCAAAAGAATGTAGCTTTAACACAAATTCTGGTTAACACAGTATTTAATAGTTTTTTCCTAAGAATATATTCTTTGGGGGTTATTATCAAATTAATCATGTATAAAAGGAAAAACAAATGTAGAAGAGCCCCATTTTCTCATCTGAGAAATAATTATTGTAGACTAAAAAGTTATTACTCTCTAACTATATGCAATTTTATTTTTCTTATTGTAGTTATTACAAAAACAGATTTTTAAGTAGTTAAACTGAAGCAAGGCTTAACTTTTTCACACAGTCTAATTTTTAAACTTATGTTAAGTAGAAAAAAATTAAGTATAAAACAAAAGAGCTTTAATATTTATTTCTATAATTTTCACTAAGCTAAACATACTTTTAAAATCATACCTAAATGAACTCAAGCAATAATCATGAGTTTCAAAGGGTATAAATAAATCCAATAAGGCTAGTTTAGGCAAACGTGAAAGCTGGGCAGGGCCAGGTCAGGCCAGAGGTCCAAAGACCCAGCGCCATGGGCTTCCCTAGGCTAGACCATTGTACCTGCTGTCATGGGTAAGAACTTGGCTGGGAATGGGCAGGTCTGAGGGCCTAACAAGTGGTTGTGCCAGGGCTCTCTGTGCCAAGCTCTGTTCTGGAGAGGGCCCAGTAATGGATTTTGGCATTGGTGAGTAGCATATACTGTTACCTCCTGTTTTCCCTGACATGTCAGGAACTCCGATATCAGAGACCAGAGCCTGTGGTTGTGTGATCTGGACTCAGCACACATGTTGCATGATTAAGCCAGCTCTGTTGTTAACTCCTACTCTTGATCTTAGCCAAAATGGCAAGAAGCGATTGTTGTTGTTAAACTCCTGTGCAAAGAAGCTGACAACTTCTCAGAGTAGGAAACATAATGTGGAAGACACAGCCTCTAGCACTGATAGGAAATCCTCTGGTTCATAAGAGGTATCCATCAGAACCTGGGATTGGCAAGCCCTATGCCCCTTACCAGTAGGAAATAACTTAAGAGAATGTGATGAATCGCTACCCTTCAGCAACCCTTAGATTAAGCGCCGGAAATTTTCGAGGGGAGAAAATGGGACAGGCCTATATGAAATCTGCCAACATGGAGGGGCGCTCTTTGTCTTTCTGTGGACACAGGCTGAATACAGAAACACTTCTCTCTCTGCACGCCCCTCACCCCGACCTGCTCCATCCCTGAACGTGGCCAACCTGTCTGTGACCTCCTCACCTTTTATAAAGACTTCATAAAGACAAAAACAAAGAAAGTTAGGTCTGCAGCAGAATGAGATCCTTAATAACACAAATTACATCAATGCAGTTCATCATACACTCAGAGGGACAGCAGCTCCATGTGCCAGCAATGTAAACAGAGTTGTTAGTTTGTTAATACCTGCATTAAAGTTTCCATATAAAACTGAAAAAAAAGATATCTGATAAAGTTCTTTAAAAACATTAGACCAAGCACAGCAGATCTGTAAGGCCCCAACTTGTGGAAGCAGTGTTAACCCTTTCAAGGAACTACCTCATCTTCTTTCCAATTGTTCCCACTGAGTTTCAACCAACTGTGTGTAAGCCGTTCTAAAAGAAGAACAATTGATGAACTCTTGCCAAAACAATGTAATTACTGAACAATGAGTATTTTGGATAAGCACCTTCCTTGAGGTCAATCGAGGCTTCAACAGACCTTTTAACCACTTCCTCTAGTATTTTCAAGGAAGTTTTCTTTCTTTCTTTTTTTTTTTTTTGTTTCTTTTCTTTCTTTTACTTGAAGTCCCTTTCCATGACCAGTCTGCACTTTTTAGCATAAGTGATTCACTCTGTTGAAGTTTCATTCATAAAATGAACTATAGTAATATTTTCCATCACATTGTAGAGGAAAAAAATTGGCTTACCATTTGCCTTCTTCATTCTCATATTGTTGAACAGTATATCCAAACATGTCTTCCACTGGCCCACTGAAAGTCATGGCATTTTTCACATCAACATTGAATGATACACAGAAGCCTAGAATAGCTTTAAGAAGGAAAGCAAAGTCTAGTTAGAAAATGTTAACTAAGAGAACATCATGTTTTGAATTATGAAGACATTCTTGAGGTTACAATAGAAAGCTGTGTTCTTATTTTAAAATACAGCAATGCAGCTCTAACAATGAGAACATCAAAGACAGCCTTCAGAATGAATCTACTGCGGACTTAAAATTAACACAGTGGTTTTACAGAACATAGCCACATAGCCAGTAACATTCAATGAAGCGTCTCTGATACCACCCCAGAACTGAAGATTTCAGAGTCTGTGGGAAAGCGCCCCGGTATGCTGTCCTCACATATGACTAACGAGGTTACAGACAGACATCCAGTTGTGAGCCCCTCAACAAACTCAAACATCAGTGAAATAAGACCAGCTTCATTTTATTCATTTCAAATACAAAGGATGGAAGTATTACCACTTCTATTCATATGCCGAACTTTCCTTGCTATTTCCAATGGCAAACAGAAGCCAACTGTGTCCACCCAGCTATGCAGGTTGAGATTTCACAATGATTCCTTCTCTGAATCAAGCAGTGTGTGGAAGTTTGTACCAAAAACGCCTTAGAATATTGTTTGTAATAAACTGTTGCTGTGATTAGTTTATATATCTACAAGTTTACTTAGTACCTAGTGGGTAGTACATATTCGCGAAAGTTAATGATTGATTTCTTTGTAGCCAAGGTAGTGAAAACCCTTAGACAAACCATCTCCAAAGGGGGTTGTGGAATCATGCCTCAAATACACGGTGACAAATTCCTATTTGGTACTGCTTTCTAAAGTGTTTTTGTAACATCCCAAAATATTCCCTTCTAAATGTAACTAAGAATTTTCTTCCTGATCAGCATTGGCTAATAAATTCAGAATGTATTGTGAAGTACATTCGGAAATGGTTAATTCTATCTACTTTGATAAAACTATGACATTGCCATGTGAATCTTGAAAAAATGTCTCTTTCCTAGTCTTGTAGATTCTAAGCAGATATAATCAATTCAACCCAACCCTTATGACTATTGCTTTTTCCATAAACTAAACCAAGAACCTTGAATTCATAGACTTGTTACTTTCATAATAATACTGAGTGCTTATTTGACACACAGCGTTTTAAATTAGAGAACATTTCTTCTTCAGGAATGTATCTACTTATAAAATGTTCTATGATTGCCTTGGCTTAGAAGTTTTCTTCCTACCTGGTCCAAAGCAAGGCCAGGCAGAAGGAACCAGGGACTTTGTGTGTCTTTCCCACGAGTGACAGGGACCCAAGTGCTTGCCTGCTAATGTGCACATTATTAAGAAATTGAAATCATACAGCTTGAACCTGATAGTCTATGGGATAATGGTGTCTCAAGCTATGACCTCACTGTTGTGCCCGACCTCCACTTCCAAGAAAAAAAAATTAATCATTTTCTCAGCTGTACTTATGTGAAATTTCCCTCCTAGATTGTGAAACTCTTAAAACTGAAGATTTCCTTAACCCTTTTATCCTTCTCAAAATTAGCATAGTTCTTGGTACACATAGACATTTACAAAACTGTAAGTTGAAAGATGATATATTGAAGAAGAAACTATGCCAGCTGTAATTAGAGTGGAACTGGAAACTGTTTAATGTAAGTTAAAGAAGACTTTGTAGAGGAAGAAAAATCCGAAGTTGAATGTTCGAGGGGATGGCGAGATGAAATTTGGTAGGGAGAATAAAATGTGTACCCAGGATTTGGGAGGGTCTCTGCAAGTAATCAGACACAGGACAGGAAAAATATGGTTGCCAGTTCATGAAAAGTTTTGCTTGGCTGACGGGAAGGAAGCCGAGAAAGAATGGATGGGTAACACAGATCCTTTTATGTACATTTCCTGTTCATTCCTCAAGGGTGATGGAAAACAGCTGGTTGCCATCTTTTGCATAATAATCTTTCATATATTTGAAGACAGTTTTAAACTCTGCTCACACTCTACTCCAAACTAAACAGTGCTTATACCCTTTCCTCAGAGGTCTTTATTTTTTGGAACAAATTTGGTAGACTATTTTTAATGTCAGAAATGTGCAAAATACCGCTATTGCAGGATTTCTCAACATTGGCATGATGAACTTTTTGGGTCAGGGAATCCTTTCTTGGCTTGTAGGACCCCTACCCATGTGATGCCAGAAGCATTTCATGACTTGGCAATTGTCATCTCTATCTCCAGAGATTGACAAATTCTAGTCAGGCCAAATCTCCCTCAGTGGAAAACTGCTGCTCCACAGATAAAGACCAGATTGACACCACCAATTGTTGTACTGAAAAAGGTGACTGAAGACTAATTATTTCCCATTGACCAGTAAAGTCACTGTCACATGGGAGTTTGTGAGGAACCATGAGTCTCAGCTCAGATTTCCTCATTCACTCGTCCACATCCCAGCAGGATCCTAAGGGATTTCATATTCCTGTACAGATTTGAGAAGCCCATATGGGGCATTTTCCCCACAATGTCCATGGAGATCACAAAGTTCACTAAGTCAAAGCACTCACCATGCTTTAGACTAAAGCAAAGCAGTATTGTCTTCAAGCAGGGTCAATCTCAATGCTCTTGGGGGTGTTTTTCCTTAGGTCCTTGCTCTCTCAAAGGTTATTTGTGGTACCTTCTCAACATGATACCAAAGGCTTTTTGTTTCCTTTTTGGGCCTGTTTATTTATTCTGCATGTTGTGTGGAATGTCCGGGGGTGTGTGCTACACTTTTTTTTTTCATTTCCTGTCCTTAGAATTCTACAGGCAATATGCCCAAAGGAATTGTAAATCAGCCCCTTTCATGTTTTCGGAGGCACTAAGGAACCTGAAGCATATGAGAGGACATTAAAAAAATACTTTTGTTCTTTTGATTTAAATGACTAAGTAAGCAGTAATAGCAGCTTCTCACACTTTTGGTTCAATGTTCATTTTGTCACACTACATTGGCTTGGAACCTTATTTATCAGAAGTAAAGTAGGATCATTTATTGTTAACAAAACCAAGAGAAAACAAAAGAAAAAAGAAAAGAGGGAGGTAAACAGATGAGGGTGCTTAAGGAGACAACAAAAAGAAAATACTGAAAATAATAGGAAATAACCATCAACAACTGTCACTTGTCGAAATACATTGTGATCTCATAGGTGCCATCGAGATTTTTCCTTTACGACCAACTTAGTCTATGTGCACCTGCCCTGTGACACACCTCTCCTGCTTCATCTCCTTTGAATGAAGTTTATGATCATTGCCATTCTGTTGATGAGATAAGGGGGATCCGGAAGGTGGAGAAATTGGCTAACTTTTTAAAGATAGCAATTATAATTCTGAAGTATTAATCACTCTTCACACTGCTCCAGTTTTTTATGCCAAAGCCTTTATGTTTGATGTAGGGACGGTTTTAGGAGAGAAACTGCTTGCCAGTTCACATGATTCCATCCACTAAGAGGGCAAATTTGAGCAGCTTTTCTGTAGCAGCTGTAGGCTAGGGTGGATACTGAGAAAGGGAAGGTTTAAATAAGGAGAAAAGTGGCCACTGAGTTACAGCTCCACTGTCTTGAGGAACTTGAGCTAAGCAATTATGTTTAGGAAGAAAAGAAATGAAAAGGGTTTTTCCTCTCCCAGAGTCGTGGCAAACAAGTGTACTTCGTGGAAAAGTGGAATTAAAAGGAGTTTATTTGGGTATAAAAAATAGTTTGAGATTTATGCTTCAGTTTTACTTTTTCACATTTGTCAATTTGTGCTTCGTTGAATAGTTTAAAATCTATTAGCTGACAGTAAATTAAAGGTATTTTGACAAGTGCTTCGGTGGTAAAGAAAGATGGTGATTGCTAGAGGAATGAGAACCAGGGTCTAAATCACCAGATCATCTCCCCAGACATATGTTTAGCTTCTCCATGATTATATCCATTTCTTCACTTTGGTCACATTTATGCTAGGGTCCAGAAAAAACAAAACAGTCACAAAAAGGCAATGCCCAACTGGGTACTAACTTGATGGTCTATTGGGCTAAGCCTCTGCCCATGGCACTGGTATCCTATATTGCCAGTGATTTGGGTCCTGGTTACTGCACATCTTATCCAGCTCCCTGCTAATGCCTGGAAAGGCAGCATGCGATGGCCCAGGGCTTTCAGGCTCCTGGCTTCAGATCTGTTCAGTTTTGGCCATTGTGACTACTTGGGGAGTGAACCAGTGGATGGGAGATTTTCCTCTCTGTCTTTCCTCTCTGTGACTCTGACCTTCCAATAAAAATAAATAAATCGTTAAAAACATACAAAACAATTAGATGTATAGGAAAACATATAAATACATACATTCTCACAGATGAACTACACATAGAGATTAACATAACAGGAAGTAAAGATACAGTGCAGTTTGCATCTCTACTCCCAAATAAAAAGTGGGACTCCCAATCAAACTGTTAAATATACCTCGACCATAGCATACTAGATTTTGTGCCTTTGCCTGATCCTACAAAGCCATGATACACTTAAATAGCAGGATGTTGGACTTGTGACTCTTGCTGAAGGAATTCACTGACTGCTTTCTATAGCATGTTCCTTTCCTAAACCTTCTGCAATGAGAAACATATGGAAATTCTATGATGCGGATGCCAGGCTTTCACCATGTTGGAGGGGTGCAGATGATTCCTGTCCTTGCAGTTAAATTCCTGGGACTCTCATCTCAATTCTTTAAGACACAGTACATCTTTATAATGCCATCCAGGATCTGAGCCAATAATAAGTGTGATCTTTTACAGCAAGACAATCTATTTCTCCCTAACCTCCATCAAGTATTGCAAGTCTGTTTCCATTCAGGCCAAACTAAAAAGTTGTGTCTCTGTAGTATCCGAGAACCACACAGCACTCCTAGGCAGTGTGATCTTTGTGTAGAACTACAGAGCTCCCTGTGCCCTCCAAACCTGGACTCTGGTTCATCCTGGCACCTCCTGCACCTTGCTGGACCAAAGCCTGATGCTGGAATGCAAATACGATGCTATGGTCAGCTAGGCTC